GTCTCAAAGATACAGATTTGATGATGTCACACTGAGAGGCGGGACATGGAAGCAGCAGGAGAGAGGAAGAAAAACACAGACTCAAAACGCAGAAAGGGGAAAAGAGTGGATATTTTTGGGTCCACACAAGTCCTTCACAAAGTTACGCCTGTGGGCTATATATATATAAGACTACATATAATTATATATATCTTATATAGTGTTAATAGAGTTTTAAATGATTTGTTCGCCTTTCAAAAACCTACAATGCAGCAATAGAGTTGATTCCTTCCCGCTATCATCGCAGCTCCAACCTCTTTACAGCAGAACAGAAGACCTCACCTGTTCAGCCAGACCAACTATTCCCTCTAACTGGTTGAGGATGTTGGGAACAGTGGTGGTTCTAGAGTCTTCCAGCTGCTGGGAGGAAGGATCTGTGATAACGCTCCCTGGTGCATTTAAGGTGCAGCAGTCTGTCACTGAAGGAGCTGTCCAGTTCAGCACCAGCTGAACCAGCATGAGGTGGGAGATATTATCCAACAGAGATGTTCATTTAGTTAGGATTCCTGATCAGCTGATCCAGCCGCTTCCTCTCAGCTCCAGATGAGCCGCTGCTCCAACAGACGGCTCCATATAGAAGAAGGCTGATGCCACAGCAGAGTCAGAGCAGGTCTTTAGGAGCGCCCCCTGCAGTCCAAAAGACCTTAGTCTCCTCAGCAGGTATGTCTGCTCTGACCTTTCTGATCCAGAGCCTCAGTGTTGGGAGTTCAGTCCAGTTTGTTATTCAGATGAACACCTCGGTACTTAGAAGAGTCCAATATCTCAACGTCTGTTCCCTGGATGTCCACTGGTGTCAGTGGGGAGGATCTGCTCCTGTGAAAGTCCACTACTAGCTCCTTGGTTTTCCCTGCATTCATTGGAATGTGGTTCTGCTGGAACCAGACCACGTTCTGGGTCCACTGTCTGTCCTCTGAGTCGTCTCCACCTGTGATGAGGCCAAATATGGCAGAATGGTCAGAGAACGTCTGGAGGTGGCAGCGTGGGGAGCTGATGGAGTCTGCAGTAAGGGGGTCTCACAGGGAACAGTCCCAGCACTGTTCCCTGTGGGACCCCCATACTGCAGACCAACCTATCTGAGACACAGCCCTGTGACCTCACACACTGTGGGCGGCCAGAATCCACGGGGACATGTGCTGGTCCACTCCTGACAGCTCCAGCTTGGACCTTAGGACTCCTGGCTGGATGGTGTTGGAAGCTCTGGAGAAATCAAAGAACATGATCCTCACAGAGCTTCCAGATTTCTCTGGATGAGACAGAGTTTGGTGCAGCAGGAATAAGATGGCATCAGCTTCCCCAATCCCAGGATGGTAGGAAAACTGAAGTGGATCCAATAAATTCCCTTCATATGTATGAATAAATGTGGAGTTAAGTAATTATATGTATTTTTCAGGGTCAGCAGTGTGTCACATTAATATTTTTTGGGAATCTGAACTGCAGCAGATATCTGGATACGCCTCTAATGGAGGACCTGTGCTTCACCCTGATGGAGCCTCGTCTTTCATCGATACATCAAAATAAAAATAACCCTCTGTTATGAATTAATTGCCCTCCTTCTGCTCACACTCCCCCGACCCGAAGCACCACAGACAGCTACTGACAGAATCCAAAACCACAACCCTTAACATCGTATCACCCATGAAAAAAAATCACCTGGCCACTAGCAGGGCCGGAGCAAGGCAGACGACACTGCTTAGGGCTCCACGCTAACTAAAGGTCCCCCCGAGGCCCCCACAGAGGTTTTCTCTTTAATAATTATATAGATCTATGCGTTTATATAATTACTTTATATAGATCAGGGGTCGGCAACTCTGGAGCTTTTTCAAAAAATTGTCACAGTGGAAAAAAATGGATTTTCTTTTTCTTTCTTTTAATGTAGTGTGCAGGAGGTCAAACAAGCGTACCATGTGTTTCCAATGTTGTAGAAAAAATCAATATAATAAACAAAAAAGTGAACAATAAATGTAAACATTTCTGACAAGGACGATTTGCATCATAACCCGCAACACAAGTTTCAGCGCGACGCAGTGCCAGGCAGGTGGCTGTTGTAAACAAATTGGTAGGTGTATCTCGGGCCGTGGATCCCAAAGGGAAAAAAAGGAAGATGGCAAATTGACTTGTTTTGAGATTATATTTTATTGCATTGCATGTATTTTCATATGTACATTTACAAAACAGCTTTTTTGCAACAATAATGGAGCAAAATTCACCCCACAGAGGATCGACCTACCAGCACAACTCTGATCTAGGCTGTTATACTGCTGACCAGTAGGTGGCAGTGATGCAACAGACAGCTGTTCGCTCACTGATGTTAAATGAAAGGAAGAGGAAAAACATTTAAACAAACCATCAGTTGAACATTATATCATTCCTAAGATGTGCAGAATAACTTTTAACCAACATTTATAGTTTCAGACTTCTTCTTCTTCAGTTTTTATCCCATCTGTCATTTTTCCTACATTTTATTTTAAATGCAAATTCAGGTGCATTACTTAGTAAGGATTGTAACGGC